TTCTTTCTTTCTTTCTTTCTTTCTTTCTTTCTTTCTTTCTTTCTTTCTTTTTTGTGGAACCAGGGATTGAACTGAGGGCCTTGCACTTGCCAGGGAAGTGCTTATTCTATTGAGCCATCTCCCTGGATGTGAGACTTGGTTTTTCATGTCAATAAATTGGAAGACAGTACTGTGCTCTTCAGTTCTGTTTTCTTAATCACTTCTACATCATAAGACAGAATTTTCATTTTGTTCATTGGTTTTGACAATTACAAGTTGTTTCTTTTTATTTCATAAAAGTCTTAGAAATTTCTTAAGACTGCTGAGTTTAGCCATTGTTCATTTTTTGAGTGATTTTTACTGAAATTTAAATTTGCTTACTTTTGTACAAAAATTTATTCATTCTGTATTCTATTTTTTTCATTTTGCATTTTGCCACTTATTATAGAATGACAATGACTGAGTTTTTGAGGGATCCAATGATCTGCGAATAATGTTTGTCAGTTCTCTAAATATTTGTTGTTTCTTTTTTTCAAATTGATCGTTAGCTATGGCTCTTAGAATATTGATAATAATTACATATGCCTTACTTTTATTATTGTGTGTATATATACCTTGCCAATGAGATTGGTTATAAAACTATGGGAATGGAGAAAGACTATTGGTTTATTTTCAATGAGCAGATGAGGGAGATCAAGCAAAGAGAATTGCAAAACCTGTCCCCTTCATTTCCAACTGTTTTCACAAAGGAAAGCAAGCTGTAGGTTACAAAAAGAGCAAGGACAGCTCACAGGGGTGTTGGAGAATATTTTTCAGTCTTTTTTTTTACTTGAATCCAAAAGAATGGCCTTTTTTAAAACAATGAATTTTGGAAAGGGACAGGATAGGAGAACAGTACATTACATTCATTGCTGAGTGGTGACAGTATAGAATTACCTTGTAAATATAAGGAAAATATCACCCAACATAAATATCACAAAAATCTCAACATAATACTAAATGCTTAAAGACACAGAAATTTGCTTGAGTTATGAACTACTCAAGAGGTTTTTCCTCATAATTTTATTGAGAATCAAATAGCAATGTGACAGTTTTAAATCCGATTAGTAGGACAGTTTCAATAATTAATACATTGCATATTGTTGTCTTAGTGGCTATTCATTGTACAAGATGCTGACATGATATCCTGTTTACAAACACTATTAGAACAAATCTTTCTATTCATTGAATTAAGAGAATGTAGCTGTATATCTATCTAAACTATTTTTAATATACAGATACAAAATGGTGGTACATTTGTATCCACTTTTTTGTTTAGTTTTGTCATTTGAATATTACAGGTGTGTGAATTCAGCAAAATATTCCAAAATAGTCCAGTAGTTCATAATACTAGTGTGATTTCAGTAGGATCTAGCAGAAAAGTATAAAAATGAAATATAAAAAGTAAAGCCATATTAATATGCTGAGCTGTAAAAGGCTCAAGTCAACAATTTCTGATATCGACGAGAGTCTTTTTTACCACAAATGATTAGGTGGTTCAGTTGAGGGTTGGTCATGAACAAAAACCTAAAATGATTTTTTGACCACTAATGCTAGTAAAAGATTCAAATGGAGAAATAATAGTAACAACTTAAAATTGTCAGAACTAATGACCAAAACAAAACTCAGTTTTTTATTATTAAAGCTTTTAAAAAATGTAAATTACAACACAGAGTTAGATACTCCTAAATAAAATAGCTAAGCTCATTTCCTGAAATAGATGGTTAACAGATTTCTTTTCTGGTTGTTGGTCTATACTCAGGAGTAAATACTCATGGGGGAGAAGAACCAAACTTCTGTGGTGGAATTTGTCTTCCTGGGCCTCTCACAAGATCCAAACACACAATTTCTCCTCTTCTTCGTGTTTCTGGCCATCTACCTGCTGACTGTGCTGGGAAACCTGCTGATGGTCGTGCTTATCCACACAGATTCCAGACTCCACACACCCATGTACTTTTTCCTTAGAAACCTTTCCTTTGCTGATCTCTGTTTTTCTACCACCACTGTGCCCCAAGTGCTTGTACACTTTCTGGTGAAGAGGAAAACCATTTCCTTTGTTGGATGCTCAACACAGATAGTAGTTTTACTCCTGGCTGGGTGTACAGAGTGTGCTCTTCTGGCAGTGATGTCGTATGACAGGTATGTGGCTGTGTGTAAGCCATTGCACTACTCCACTATCATGACACGTGAGGTCTGTGTACAGCTGGCTGTAGGGTCCTGGGCCAGTGGAGCCTTTGTGTCCCTGGTGGACACCACATTCACTTTGCATCTTCCTTACCGAGGCAACAATATCATTAACCATTTTTTCTGTGAGCCTCCTGCCCTTTTGAAGCTGGCTTCCGCAGACACTTACACAACAGAGATGGCCATCTTTGCAATGGGTGTGGTAATTCTCCTGGCTCCTGTCTCTCTCATCCTGATCTCTTACTGGAATATCATCAACACTGTGGTCCAGATGCAGTCTGCAGAGGGAAGGCTCAAGGTCTTTTCTACATGTGGTTCCCATCTCATTGTTGTTATTCTCTTCTATGGCTCAGCAATATTTGCCTACATGAGGCCTAACTCCAAGATAATGAATGAAAGAGATAAAATGATCTCTGTGTTCTACTCAGCAGTGACACCCATGTTGAACCCTATCATTTACAGCCTGAGGAACAAGGATGTCAAAGCAGCTCTCAAAAGAGTTACTGAAACATAATTTTGGATGATGGTAAACTGTGAGTATAATGACAACCTTGGAGACATGGAAAGAAAGAATTTGTTTTCTTTCTTTTCTCCCATAATTTTATTGATAAACAAATAGCAATGAGAAAGTTTCAAATCAAATTGGTAGGACAGTTTCAATAATTAACACATTGCATACATTCTTGCTAGTGGTTAATTACTGTACAAGATGCGGACATGATATCATATTTACAAACACCATTAGAACAAATCACTGTATTCATTAAGAGAATGTAACTATATATCTATCTGATCCACTTTGAATAGACAGATACAAAATGAACATTCATCTGTATACCCATTTTTGTTAAGTTCCGTTATTTGAATATTATAGGTGTGTAATCTCAGCAAAGTGTTCTAAAATAGTCCAGTAGCCCATAATAGTATTGGGTCTTTGCTTGACTGGCAATGTCAGAAATTGTTGACCTGAGTCCCCTACAGCTCAACATAACAGCATGGCTTTACTTCTTATATTTGTTTTTATACTTTTCTGCTGGATGGTTAAGACCAAGGTAAAGCAGGACATATGCAACAAGACTTGTAGCGTTTGGGGTGATAAGGTCAGTGAAATCCCCTCAGGATTTATCCTGAGATCCTGTACCTCAGATTGTAGAACCTTTGTGAATGTCAGCCATGTGAATGAGTCACGGCCATTGCTTAGCCGATGTGCTCTCTGTAAAAGCCTGAAAGAATGTTTCTCTCCATGTGACTCTCTGTAGGCACACTATAAATCATCAGTCACTTTCCTCTTTCACTCCATAATCTCCTTGATCAGAAAATTTGGGACACTACTCAGTTACGTGATGTTACAGTAGAAGTTCTCATATGTCCTGAGTCTTAATTGACCTTAGAAATCTAGGGCAAAAATGCTGGCTTTCCTTGCAGCCCTCCTCTTTCTCTAATTTTGGTCTGCAAACTTAGGTTGTTAACCATCCAGAAGACAAGGTTATTGTTATTATCAAACAACTTAGGCTGTTAAGCTTAACCTCACTATCTGTCTGCATATCAAACATCTTAGGCATAATATGGAACAGGTATTTTTCATCAAGTATTGATATGTTGAAATTTAAGTCCCTACAGAATATGATGAAAATCATTTAAAAATTAGAATATATTTTAAAAATAGGCATAAAGAATTATATACTTCTTATGTTTACACATAAGTCCAAAAATCTCACCATTTACAACCTTGAAACAGGACAGTCCCACAATATTACTTTTCCTATTTCTTGATTTCATTCACCACCTCTTTCTTCTTGAACAACCATCTACCTGCCAGACATCATAGCAGCAACTGACATGTCATGACAAGCAGCCCATATTCAGAATACCAGAATGACAGGCACTACAAGCATGAAACTACTATTACAAATTACTATCTGGAGTGCAGTTTCTTATTTCACAGGTATCAGTATATATAGTTAGTCAGGATGAAAATATTTCCAATTTACTGCTAGATTAAAAAATCTTCTGAAGATTCTCAGGACCATTGCCTTGTCCATCTTCTTCATATGACTGTATGACTTGACTTATTCATGTTTCCTAGCTCTACTCCTTTCCCTCTCTTGATTAGTTAAGTCCTTGAGATCCTGCTTTCCTTTTACTTGTATTATACCGTTCTATTTGTATTTCTTCTTTTGAGTTCTTCTACAAGGGAGACTATATGATATTTACACATGTGTGTCTGGTTTATTTCACTTATGAGTATATGTTCAAGTGGCACCCACTTCAGTATAAACGCATTGAGTTTATCATTCTTAATAGCTGAATAATACTCCATTGTGCAAAAACACCACATCGTTTTCAACCATTCTTCAGGTGATGGGAATCTTGGTTGTTTCCAAGATTTGGCTATTAAAAATTGTGTTGCTACAAATACAGGCAAACATATATCACTATGATATGATGATTTTGAATCCTCTGGGAAAATTCCCAGTAGAGGAATAGCTGGTTTAAGGGTGATTGTGCATGTAGAGAGCCAATTTTCCCAGCACCATTTGTTAAAGAGGATATCTTTCTTACAGTGAGTATGTTTGGCCCCTTTGTCAAAGATAAGGTGGCTGAGTGTGTTTGTGGGCACTTCAGCATTTTCTAATCTATTCCTTTGATCCTCAAGTCTATTTTGTTGCCAGTACCATGCTGATTTTA